ATTGCACAAGTTGTTGGAATGTAACACACCCCAACACTGCTTGTGTTACCACCCAACGAACGTGGGCAGAGGAATGGTGCTTGCATTGCACAGTGTGTTGCTGTCCATCTTCAGAATTGTTTCTGCAGTTGCTGTGAAACTGCTAATGCGTCGTCGTCAATGTGACAGCACACAGCTTGGGCTGTCAGTGGTGGAGCTACTAATGTTCTCTAACATCGATTTCCTCTCTTCTTTTTCTTCCTCCAGAAATATGGAATCTTAGAAGGGAGAAACGTGGGGCACTGGTGTAAGATTTTCTCTGTTACTGATCTCTTAGAGATTGTTTTAGTCTTCACAGTTGCTAAAAACTTTTTCTGTGTCAAGAAAGTGGCCACACCATTCTGAATGTTAAGAGTTTGTCTTATAAAAGCTGTATTATTTACTGGTAAAAATAACTAATACGTTTTCCTGACAGACAGCTGAGGTATAAGCAAAATGTGTTATAAGGGCAGTAGAAAAGGATGGAAAAGTATATGTCTGATTTTAACTGTAAGAAGGATAAAAAGCCAAATAAGATTTGCCCACCTATCTCAGGACAAAGTGGTGTGCAGATATTAATAGAACAAATACTGCTAACCAAGAGGCATGGTCCTGCCTGCCTGAAGAGAGAAAACACAGATAGACATAATGCTACAGCATTGATGGTTTCTGTAAATGTGCTTTGTACGTCATTAATGTCTTCTTTCCCATGCCATTTTAAGCACTGTCGTTGAACATAGCCAGGGGAACAACAGGCTGCTGCCGTTCCTGAGAATCCCAGATAAGCACCAGTGAATCCCTTACCAGGGCATTACATGAGATTCAAACACTGGGGTGTTTTCCCAGGATTCTAATCAGCACTCGGTTTGTTGTCTACATACTTAAAGATACTCACAAAGCTGTAGATAGTCTGTCTGCTTTCAGAGTGCTCTGTTAGAAAATCCCAGCTCTTAAACTTATTTGCCAGCTGTGTTGCAGCAACCAGCCGTCCTTCCCTAAAATGAACAGTGATCCCAATGGTCATAAAGAAGTATGAAAGTAAAATGCATTACAAAATATGAGGTGGAATAAGAATGCTGCAGTCCAGTTTCCCTGTAATGCTGGCCTGGAGCAAGTTCAGAGACAAGGCAGAGTGAAAGACATTGGGGGGTTCTTTTAAGTCTGTTTTTACTTTCCTGCATTTCTTGCCTGTAGCAGAGGATAACAGAAGGTGAGATTACTTAAATGTTCCACGTGGAAGTTCACTGTGTCAAAAGAGGTGTTCTGCTGTAAAAGCAGTCATAAAAAAGGGACATGATTTCTGAGATGAAAGTGGGAAAGAATTCCTTTGTATTTTTAATATTGTATATATAGAATAGTAGGATGGAAAATCCTCAGTCCCAGTGCAGAAACTGTATGTCCTGCAACCACTGGATTTAAAAAAAAAAAAACCCCAAACATATAAATTAATATAAAGATTAGTTCTGCTGTAAAAGCAGTCATAAAAAAGGGACATGATTTCTGAGATGAAAGTGGGAAAGAATTCCTTTGTATTTTTAATATTGTATATATAGAATAGTAGGATGGAAAATCCTCAGTCCCAGTGCAGAAACTGTATGTCCTGCAACCACTGGATTTAAAAAAAAAAAAACCCCAAACATATAAATTAATATAAAGATTATACATGATATATCTATTAATTATATTAATATATATGAAATTATGCATACTGCCCATATGCCTGACTTGTGTCGTTTGCGTGGCTAGGTTCTTGAACAGCCACGGAGAACAGTAGCTGTATGTGTTCCACACATGTTCGCAGCATTGCACAGTAGCTGAATTTGGAAGGAGCCTTTGGAGTCATGTGGTCTACTTTCCTGCTCAAAGCATGGCCAGCTTCACAGAGCCACTTCTGAAATTGCACATTGCTCAGAGCAACTTGTTTGTGTACGTGCTTAGTGTTTCCCTGGCTGGAGATTCCACAGCCTCTCTGGGCAACCTGCTCCAGCATGTCATCATCCTCACAGTGAAGACTTCTGTTCTTTGCATCAAATAGGGCTTTCCCTTGATCCAGCCTATGGTCATTGTCTCTTGTGCTTTTTTCTGAGCATTTCTATGTTGAGTCTGGCTCTGTCTTCTCTCCAGCTACTACTTAGGTGGTTGAAGATAGCAATTAGATCTCTCCATAGCCTTCTCTTCTTCCAGCTAATGAACTGAATTCCCACAGGTTCTTCTCATATGTTCTATGTTTTAGAACCCGATGGGTTTGCTGAACCTTTGCTGAACTCACTCCATTTTGTCACTGTTTTTCTCCTACTGGGGAGCCCCAAAGGAGAGACACTTCTTCTTTTATTATTTTTTCTCAGTGACCTGAGTTGGAAAACTCCTATTTGACTCCAGGCAGCTGGAAAGCTCCCTTGTATTTACAACATACAAAGGTTTGATATATTATCTGCTTAAGATTTATAAACAGAAACAGGCTCATTGATGGTGTGAGCTAAAAATGTTCTACTTCTTTGAAGATACAGTCAGGAAGGTGCATGAAAATACGTGTTTGAGGAAAAGTCAAGTTGGTGTGTCAGGGTCACACTGCCTGAGTGAGCCAAGCTGTATCCATTCCAAGTTTTGAAGTTGCAGGTTAATACAGAAACACATCTGTAATAAGCTTGCATCAAGGAAGGTCTAAATTCTTCTCTTTTCACAGGACTTCAAATCCTTATAAAAGGACATAGTCATGCCCATGGGCTCCCCTTTCTCAGTCATGCTTTCTTCAATCTTTTGCTTGTAAGACATTCTACCTATTCTTTGCTGTTCTTGCACCTTTACTGTGGCAGTTCCATAATGAAGGCTGTCAAGCAGCTTCTGTAGCTCTCTACTTACTTAAGAGTGTATTTTCCAGCCAATCTTATGGAGACCTAAAACTGAAGTTGTTGACCTAGTTAATGCAATGTCTACAGTGAAAGGTTTGGGCAAAGAAAGAGCTAATGATCTCTTGAGATATGGTTCACCTGTAAACCTATTTGTATTCCATTTTTATCTCTGTGTCTTAAAAAGATGAAGTAAAATGCAAAACTGGAGGGGGTTTCAAGGAAGTTGCTAATTTTTGTCATATCAAAAGGTTGATAGGGAGACTGAGTAAAATATATAGTACTTTTAGTGGAATTAGGGCTAGGAGAAATTGGGAAATTTGTTCAGTGGAGTATGTGTCCAAAAAATATGTTCTAGCTTTTGGGAATGGTAGCTCAAAAGCTTATCAAATCTGCCATACTCAAGCATAACAACTTTTTATTTAGTGTCCTTAGGAATACTTAAATGATATTTAGTATGTGGATATCCTTGTACAGTATCTTCTATGCAATTATTGCAATACAAGAGTAAGTCTTCTTCCAGAAAGCCCTCAAAAGAAAGGGTTCATGTTGAGAATCGCTTCATGGACACTTTTGTTGAACTATCACTTATACAAGTGATTACATGCTAGATACATGAGTGTCCTTTTAGATTCTAGCTAATGACCATGCACTACAGTGCTGGTGATGTTACCTGGTTTCAATCAGCCTTCCAGTGCACAACAAAGCACATGTGCATACCTAGGCACCTTCCCACATTTGAAACGTGTCACATGTTTATAACATAGCTTCATGCTAATAAAAGACTGTATACACAAGTCATTCTTGTGTTTCATAGCCACAGTGTAACTGACTAAACAGAGTATGGGTAGATCAAGAGGGTGTACCCTTGATTCTCCAGAAAATGCAAGTGCATAGCTGTATGTGTTAAACAGCATGGCAAACCTGTACCTGAGATGCCATTCAGAATAGAAGCAGTGTATTTGCCCTGTCCCTCTAAATTTCAGTATCCACGAAAACATGCCTTAAACGAATGCTGCTTTCTTCATTCCTTGATCTCTGAAGTAATGACACAAGCTTCTCTAGTAAATCACAGTATTATGAAGACTGAACAGCAAATTCCCAGTGCCATTTGTGGGTTTTAGAGCGTTTGAATAAAGTTTTTGGAGTGTGATTTGCTTTGCCTTTTGTACCCAGGAACACTAGGGACCAAATCCTCTGTGCTTCTTTATTTTGCTGTTCCAGAAAAGATTAATTTTACAAGCTCAAATTCCCATAGTGTGATGGCATGGGGTGCCTCCACATTTCCCATGAACACTGCTTTACACATTCCACATGCCAGAAGCATGGATAAGATTTGTATCAATACCAAGGGTAGAATAAAGGATCACTCTCATTCTGATCTGCGAAAGCAAGTACATGCTAGGGGTTTACTAACGTCGGCAAGAGTTAAATGCATGCTTAAGAGTTAACCAAGAAAATATTTGTCCTTGCTGAACTGGGAGTTCTGTGGTAAAAGGAAGAGGTTATACCCAACCCTTTGGGAATATTTCTCTGTGGTATAACACTTCTTGCTTTGAAGAAAGAGGATGCAAGATACAACCTCAGTGCCTCACAGCCTCCTTTAGAGCATGAATATAAGTGTATCTTTAAAGGAAAAGCTATCCTCCTCTTTAACAGCCTTACCAGTGGCTAAAGTAACAAAACGAGGAAATAAGAAAAAGACTGAAATTGTATTTTTAACATAAATTAATAAAAATGCTCATTTCTTCCTTATTTTTTTCTTCCATGTTTATTTTAAAGAAATACAAATATTGCCTCTTTTATGTGTTTGTCATTAATATGCTTTTTTATGCATAGACTACATTTCTATGTAGAAAAGAGTTTCCAAAATGTTAAGTATGTGCTTAAATACTGTCTGCTCAGGAGATTCTTTATATCTCAGGTTAAAAAAAGATGAAGTGATCTTCATCTGCAAATACACAATGTTTATCAAAATGTGTTGCCTCTTGGTTACAATATTGCTCTGTTCTGACCACTAGGTGGTGGAAATGTCTGCAAGTAAATATGTCTGCATGGGAATATAATCATAGAATCATAGAATGGTTTGGGTGGGAATAATGACACCGTTATAAATGCTATTTTTCTGACCAACAGATATTTCCTGGACTGATTCTCTCAGACATTAAGCCTGCCAAAAGAATGAAGTTCAAGACAGTCTGCTACCTGCTTGTTCAGCTCATGCACTGTCGGAAGATGTTCAAAGCAGAGATCCCTTTCTCCAATGTCATGACGTGTGAGGATGATGATAAGGTAATCCATGTGGGCTATTCAGGCATCTGTTCCAGGGCCGCATTAAGCAGATTTGATCTGAGAATGTGACCTGACCAAATGATAGAGGACTTTCTAGTGTTCCTGCTGGAGTTAGAGCTATCTAATGCTCACAGTCTTCTCACAGTAAAGGTAGAAATTAATGATAACAGGCCCCAAATTTGGAGCTCATCTTGAACAAGCCAGCACAGGTAGCCTGTATGGCTTCTATTAAGGGCTTCCTTCACAGGAATTAGCTTCAGAGGCTTTTCCTGCAATTTCTTAGCACTGTTCTTTTGCATCATGAGTCCATCACAGTCTGAAACTGATGGCAGCAAATGCAAAATTACAGGATAATTTTCTATCTCTAGATGGTTCTCTAAGAACAAAAAGGCAAGTGATAAGCCAAAACCCCCTCTTCGTTCCTAATACAAATCCTAAATACAAAAGTCTTTAACACAAATAAAACTGCTGCTTTCTTGAATGGCTTGTAATGCCATAACTCAAAATTGCCAGTAGCTTGATTTAATTCCTTTTCTGTCTGTGGATCTACCCCAAAATTTATGGGGAAAACACTTTTGAAGAGTTGCTCATTCCACTTTCTTTGTCAGTAGGTGGCAATATTACATAGGTCACTCCAGCAGTGCTTAAAAGCATCAGCATCAGTAATACATCTAGACTGATTGCTTCCCCTTTTGTTGTATGGAGTTTTTAAAATGATGTACATTTATGGAAGATTCTAAATCTTACTTTCACAAAGCATCCTTATTTCTATATTTTGGATCTTACATGTATTTGTGTTTCTCCTGCGGGAAAAGGGGAGAAAAGTACATTAGTTCCTTTAAGTCTCAGTGAAGACTTTCAGAAGCTCCAGATTTTATGTTGAAACTGGCCATGTACTAGGCCTTCCAGTTGTGAATCAATACTGTTCTTTGAGTATTTGAACAAAGTAACCCCCACATTCCTTGGAGCATATGCAATATTTTACAATGTCTTATGTATATGTGTGTATAAATATGGTAGTTGACACAGAAAATCCTGATATGGTTGTTTGAGGGATCTGATGAAGATTTTCTCGTGTCAGAACATTTACAATGAAGTTATGTATATGTGTGTATAAATATGGTAGTTGACATAGAAAATCCTGATATGGGTGTTTGAGGGATCTGATGAAGATTTTCTCATGTCAGAACATTTACAATGAAGTTCTGCAATGCCATCTTTAACTGAAACAGGTTTTCTGAGCTTTTGTACCTAACACATAATATTTATTATGGTGCATGATACATGATTTTAATGTAAATACACTGTGTTGCAATGCAGGGTTTCTTCAGAGATACCAGTCTTCACATCACGTAAAACAAGCTGTAGCTATAAAGACTTTGAAGCTAGCACATTACTGCAGTATGTATTTATTTAATTGCTGAGAAATATTAATACTGGATCTTGGTTTCTTATAAGACATAATGTAAGTCTACTGTGTGAAATAATAATAGAGATATAAATAAGAGACCTACTGCACATAATTGTATGTAAGCAACAGCTATTTTGATTAAAAAACCCAGTAACTTTAACCCTATTTTAATTTTAAATTGGCAGAATGAATAATAGAATTTATTTCATAGAAATATGAGAATATTTCGTATGTCAGAATAACTTCCATTGTCTACCCTCATTCCAGATTTTAAAGAAGAGAAGCATTTTGGGGTTTTTTAAATGATGTTTTGCTCACCCCTATTATTATGCTATAGGTTTAAATTTGGATTATAAAAAATCCCCAAAGATGTACTTTCTGCTGCACCTTAAGCAATACATACACTAACTAGTTGTTGTTTATAAAGAGCAAAATGGTATATTCCTAACAATATTCCTGAAAGCACTCAGTTTCCCCACAAACTTGTGGGACAAACGTCTTCTGCAAGAGAACAATTTTATCTCCATTTAGAAACATTTGGAATAGTTTGGCTGGCAATTTAAGATTTTTATTATGGCTAACAGGACCCAGAAGAACAGATTTGAAAGCTCTAATCCGTGTATGTCCACAGGATTATTTTTCATGTAGAAACATTTAGTTCTTGCACTACTACAGGCAACTTAACAAGTAATGGGATCTGATAGCTTGAAGAAAAATGTCTCAAGTAGCCTCATAATTGTTTAATGCTGGTGAAACCTGCTCTTGACATATAAAGACAGCAAAGCAGAACTTGGAAAGTTATTTTATCTTTGCTAAAGTCCATTCTCCCTCATAATCAGAAAACTAAGGTTTCAGTCAGCAGTTAACCTTTCCCACTGTTCATAACTACTCAGGTATAATTTACATATAGTATAAGCTATGTAAGCTAATGAACTGCTGTAGTTCATGATTTGTTCACTGATGAGGCTCTCATGAGAACTTCTTGTGGAATAAGACAGGAAACTGCCATTCCTGCAGAATTACATAGCAATCACCACCTCTTTTTACCATCTGGTTTTAAAGGATATTTTGTAGTATAACCTTGAAAGAGTGGGCTATTAAGTACTGACTGCTCTGAAGAGAGAAATCTGATGTACTGATGTAACAGCTTGCTGACACTCTACTGATTATATCCTGAGCCAATGTTGTCCTTATCCCTGAGCAGACTGGTAATTTCATAACTATTTGAATTGTCTTCCTGAACTCTGCAGATATTAGACAAAAAAGTATTCCTTCAGCTGTATAAAAATAGTACAACTTGCCTGAGTTTGGTTGTCAGAACTCTTCTGGGAAGTAAGGCTTGACTCCTTTTGAGGTGAAATGGGTTTAAACTTAAACAGGGGAAGTTTAGATTAGATATAAGGAAGAAGTTCTTTACAGTGAGGGTGGTGAGGCACTGGAATGGGTTGCCCAAGGAAGCTGTGAATGCTCCAGCTGTGAATGCTGGTGGTGTTCAAGGCCAGGCTGGACAGAGCCTTGGGCGACATAGTTTAGTACAATGTGTCCCTGCCTGTGGCAGGGGGGTTGGAACTAGAT